TGGTCCGAGGTGTCCTGTTTGTTTGTCCGGGCAGTCTGGGCTGTTGTCCGGGCTGTCCTGTTGTTTGTCCGGAATGTCCGGGCTGTTCGACGGGCTGTTGTCCTTGCTGTCGGTGGGGTGGTCCGGGGTGTCCTGTTTGTTTGTCCGGGTAGTCCGGGCTGTTGTCCGGGCTGTCCGGGCCGTTCCCTGGGCTGTTGTCCGGGCTGTCTGTGGGGTTGTCCGGGGCTGTCCTGTTTGTTTGTGAGGGAAGCGACCCTGTTTCCGGCAGATAGGCTAAGGCTGGGATTGCAGTGACCTGTTTTGGGCCTGGTAGCTTCAAACGCAAAGCTGGTGGCAATCTCAGGTCCGAAATACCCAAGCCGAGGCCCGTGCTAATCAGAGGCGCACCGAACCTGAGAAGAAGGCTTAAGTCCGATAGGGACAGGAATCTGAGTAACGTCACTTGGCAGACGAAACCTCTGTTTTGCATACACAATGATAGGCTCGAGAAGGTCTCGGCTACGAGGCTAATGTAGGCAGGCATAGGCTTATGTCAGACCTCGGTCTCTGAGGCTGTCCAGTCGGGCCCCTGGTAGTTAGGTACATCTAGAGCGGCTGGCGAGAAGTAGGCTGCGCAGCTGGGCCAGGCTTGCTGTAGTGTCGTGAGTAGGTTCTCGAGGCGGAGGAAGGTGAGGCTGACGCGGCTTCTGATAAGGTCAAGCTTTGCGGACATGAGGCTGCGTAGGCGTTGGCTATCTCTGGCTGCTCTGTGATAATGCCAGAGCGCTTGCTGCGAGCCGGAGCGCTCGGCTTCCAAGACCCGAACTCGTAAATCGAGGCTCTGTAGGCGGCGGTTAAGCTCGGCAATATCGGCTTGATTGGCTTGAAGCTGTGACGCCGAGGCTGACGACGTAGGCTCGTTGGGAAAATCAGAGGCAATGTCATCCTTTCCATCGGCAGAGGCTGGTGGCAATAGGTCGGGCAAGTGGCTGTGGTCTGACTGAAAGGCCAACGGACCCGATAGGCCCGCGTTTAGGCGTTGAATTTGGCTCAGCTGGGAAGACGCGCTCCCGGTAGGCTGTCCGGCATTAAATTGATAGGCAGGGCTGCTGTGGCTGTTCCAAGAGGAATCCCAGGCCCAGCGCTCGGCTGCTGTGCGCGGCATGATAGGCTGCGAGGCTGAACTAGAAGAGAGGAAGTTACTGAGAGCAGAAAGGCTGCCACCATTGCAAACAGCTGGGGCTTGTCTTTTATGTATGAGACAGGCTGAGAATGCGACTCGGCAAGGATGTCGGCGCGGATGAAGCATACACGTCAAACCTGAAAGGGCAGCAGCATTGCTGTAGATAGTGCTTGCTCGGCCAAGTTGTCGTGGCAGGCATGGTTGCAAAGGAGCATGGCTCTCCAATCGCCAGAGTCTAGGCATAATAGAAGCCACGAACAGGGCTGAGTGCCAAACAAGATATCGGCGAGACTCTGACCTGAGGCCGCGAAACGGAAAGTTTGAGGTCGAGAGGCTACTTGGTCGTATAACCCGTCTCTGTACATGAATTGAGGCCTCAAGGCTAGAGCCACGAACTGGGGCTGTGACTCGTCTTGTCGACCTGGCGAGGCTAATGGAGAGCTGACTTCGTTAAGGCTAGAGGCAGAGGCTGATCCCTCGCTGGAGGGGAAGAAACGCAGGTCGTCTTGGTGTATATTGGCAAAGCCTGTGGCATCAAGGCTAGGAAGGCTTTCTTCGGAGGGAAGCCTGAGAAGAATATCCTGGTCAAACCCAGGTGCTTGACCCATGGCCTGAGGCAAAGCTGAGGCACTAGCACCTGTCGAAGGCAAACCTGGCAAATCGTGTAATCGCAGGAAGGCACTGCAAAAAGCGAAAAGGCTATAGGCAGAGTAGTCTCCAATGGAGACAGGCGGAATAGGCAACATAGCAAGGCGAGACTAGGCCGCTGGCGGCCGAGGCGGCAGTCTAACTAGGCTGGAAGATTATCCCTGTATTGGCTTTTTGTTAACGAGTAGGTCAGTGTTAGAGTTGATATTTTGTAATGTGTATAGATTCACAAGTTTATTAAAATATATATATAAAAATAACGTGTAATGACGGATTCCCATATATTCCAACGTCAGACAATTTGATACATTGACATGGAAAAACCTAAGCCTTGACTTTGACTGTAAGATGATGGAAAAGGTGGACCTTGTTTATTCCAGTGATTCACAGTATCCCAAAATCTGATAAGGATATGATAGATGCTAATTCGAAACTGTAAGAACTATAGAACATGGCCGGTGGCAGACCTTGTAAAGCTTTGGGGGGGGTGATAATCCCTCTAAGCGAAAGGCAGCACCCCCCAGGCTCTGTGACCCATTCAGCATTTGTGTGTGGGGTTACTGTTTCGTGACCATCTTTTTTATTATGGCTTTGGTTAAGGATATGTGGCAAACGCATTTGAGGTGGGAGGTTTGGGAACCAAAAGAAAAAGCAATCCTGTGCCTTCTTGGCTTCTTCCAGCTTCGAGGTGTCCTGCTTCAGAACTTGGGTTGCTTCTGTCAGCTGCGAGGTCAGATCCGTGGCCGTCGGAAGGCTGCAAGTGCCTGGTCGAAACGCCCCAACATGTACACGATTTGACATCCCGGACAATGAGGCCGGCTACTGTACCACTGCATCTACTACCCACAAAATGTGATTGCTGTTCACGGGCCTCCCCGTGGGCACGGCTGCACCATCCTTATTAAACGCAGGGCGGAGCAAGATACTGCTGCTAAAAAGGGGTATCCCGCAAACCGTAGATTGCACACCGCGGCTCCATGTCTGCGCGGGGGGGAGAACTGGAACCACGCTCGGCGTCCATTCCAGCGACTTCAAGATTTTCTCCAGGACTGGCTTCGAGGTCGCCTTTGCTGTTGCAGGAAGCTTCTGGCGGCCGTGCTGCACGACCGTCTCTTCAACTACTCTGAAATTATGCCGGTAGCCATCGTTGCATTCCGCATGAGAACTCGAGCGCCCGCAGTGCTTAGATTGCAAGATGTCGTAACTTCTCCCCAGAAATGCTGGAAGGAAACCTGGGCGTTTGAGGCTGCCCGACCAGATCGCCGATGCTCTAAGCCGCAGGCAACAATCAGTGACGTAGGAATGCAAACAAGCAACTCCTTGGTAAACGTGCTGCAGCTTGAGGGGCAACAAATTCGTTACCAACACCGGCTGAGTCTCGCCGACCTTGCAGATCAAAAGTCTCCATGCAGCCTCTCTCCGCACCCGGTTGCAGGCCTCTGTTGGCAAGTCCGCTTGGTTCACTAGAGGAGCCAACAGGTCCAAACCAGGTTCGGCACCTTGGAATGCGAAGGGCTGGCAGCTCCACGGGGGCGTGCAACGATGCAAAGCCTGGGATCCCGACTGACCTCCACAGGAACGACAATGTTCGCAAAATATCCGGTGCCTGTCACCTGCACGCACTTGCACACACAAGTCGTCCTATCGTTGTACCAACATGGCAACAGCCATGCACACATCGTCCTAGAAATGCTTGGCCTCGTGATGCACCAGCACAACCTCGAGCTCGTGGCTGAGTTCTTGCTTCGTCCCTTCTGCAACGATGGCAGGCTTTCGCAAGACAATGCTCCTCAGCCACACATGCAATGAACAAGGCAATTCACATGTCTGCAAGCTGCGCACATACAGGTGGCCGGCCAGTCAAACTTGTGTGCTGTGTTCGAAGTGACTTACAAAAACTGCTGCTGATCATCAATGCCGAGTCGCTGTAAGATGTACTTTTGCGGTGCATCCGTCCCATTCGATGACACATACGTCAAGTTAAAGTTGGCCTAAGTCTGGCCCGTGCCGTGTGAAGTAAACAAGCTTGGCCAGTACTGTTCGGAGCAAACACCAGAACCCATCTCTGGCTGCCAAGCGATCGACTGTAATGTCTGCCGGCGCAGAAACCACCAAGGCCCCATCTGCTAAAGATGCCATCAAAGGACTTCTATACCTAAGCAGAGCAGGAACAATTCTTCCAGCCTTTGGCGTGCACTGAGCCAGAACACAATCAAACTGTGTTCGATGAGACAACTGTTGTGGTCACAGGTGGTACAAGCAAGGTTCTCTTGCACGTCGTAGTCAAGCAGAACAGGAGCTACGAGTGCTGGATTCTGCATTGCCCACCTGAACGAAAGCAGTGACGCATGATGTTGGTGCCAGGAACGACTGGATGTTGAGCTCGGACTGTTTCATCGAACCGGCCTGTACCGGGACCCGCTGGATCCACGTATTGTCGTGCACCCGACATTGGCAACACCTGCAAATTGCGTATGCCTGTTGTACTCTTGAACCAGCAGGTTTTCAGTGTCACTTGCCATCTGTGCTATGCCTTCCATCAAAAACAACAATCTTTTCTGAATCCGGGCTCATCTCTGTTCGGGGGACCACTTCCAACATCAACATCACAACTCATAACCTCGTCGGCTTACGTCCTGGACGGTGGGTGTTTTCGAAGGCGCGAAAATTATCGGCCTGCAGCAACTGACGCAAATGCGGCGATGGTCAGGAGCACGAGCCTTCGCTCCAAGACCTGAAGAATACGACAGGCTTACCCAGCTTCGCCGTATACCAACTTCTGCATGACAGGTCAGCAGCTCTTTGCATGCCAAGTTGCCGTCATGAGCATCTTCACGTCTCCACAACCAAGTGCCGAGTGAAAAAAATACGAATATGTACCTGTGATCGTCACTTGCCAAAGTCTCGCCCGGTGCTGAGGCAGCTGTGACAATCACATGACACACTCATGGCACCAGTTTCCGACCATCCGGCCTGATTCTCCAGCTCTCCGAGAAGATCGTCCACTATCGGGGGTATGGCAACGGCAACGTGGCTAGGCTATGTGTATATCCATGAGCCAAACTGCCTGCCCAGAATGGCTCAGAAGTTGACAGACGTCTTGCTACAACCCACCGGTGGGAACTGGCGGCAAAGCATCGGTCTCTGTCACAATGACACAACCCAGGGCCTTGTCTCTGCGGGCTTGAACTCATGAGACCGGTACGGCGACCGTCTGCACCGCAGAAGTGGGAAGAAACATGCCGGCCCAGCGATTGTGAACTTTGGCAGCTATGGGACAACAGCAGTCCATCCTTGATTGCCGTCCATTGCCACCTTTTTGCTCCTCGTCCACCACCCAGGGCGAGCTGTCCGGCGCCTGGTTGTCAACGTTTCGCAAACCAATTCATCATTCGGTCGTGTTGCTACCAGTACTTGCATCCAGCCTCGCCCACTCGAGGCCTCAACCTCCCAACACACCGCTCTGCACACGAGTCATGTAATGACGGAACAATCCGGCTCAGGCGTGGACACGACATTCCCATTTGGAGACATGCTCATAGACCCTGCGCGGAATCACATGTAAGCAACCACATCATTATTCAATCAATCAAGCGCCTGTCAGATCCATCTTCAGCATCGTAGATCATGTGCAGCCATCTGTCCATATCAACGCCATTGGCCCAAGCACGGAGTTCGAGCTTAATTTGTCGAGTCACAAGGAGGACTTGTGTCAGTTGCAGGCTGTGTCTTGGGTACATGCCACATGTCGTGCAGTGCTTGGGTGTGTACAGCGAAATCACTTTGACACATGATGATGCAAGTCACGGCAAATAAACCGTCTAAGCGGACAACCCTACATGCAAACACCTAGCATGACATAGAAGCGTCTGGATGCATAACATTGCCGCACATACGAATGGAGACTCCTCGAGGCGGTCAATGATACGTACGTTTGTTTCTTTAGGCACACCGTATCTGCCTGGACGGCAACCTGACGTACTCGTACAGTCAGAGACAAGCATCGATATGGACTGGTGTCAGCCACGCCGGCGATTGCAGAAGCACTGTTCGTGAAGAAACCATATTCATTGTTCGACAATTGCTGGAACAGACACTGTCACACAGGGACAATCAACTTGTTTCTTAGCTTTGGATTGGTCAAAAAGCTCTTGACTTGACAGCGTGGACGCCGACCGGCTATCCCATGCACTTTTCCGATCCGTGCGATTTACAGCGACATACAGATCAAAGTTCATGATTGTGGGCGAGATTCTTCCATACCCAAACAACATTCCATCCCCATTCCTTCTTGGAACGGGTCGACGCTTGCTCCGACTTGCGTTTGCGCATGCCGCGTTCGGAAGCGGACCTGCCAGTCGATGAGCTTGTGTATGCAGATGACACCATCGTTTGTTTTTCAGCGTCCCGGGCTGAAGCCTGCATTGCTCGAGCTGGCCGTGACTATGGGCTGTGTCTCAATTGGTGTATTATGTGTAGTTTTTTTGTTTTACACGCACCTTTTACGACGGACCCAGGCGGCTCGGGGTGGGGGGGACTGCGTCGTGCAGAACGTCCCCGAGCGCGGGGGGCTGGAAGCCAGGCATGGCTCCAGCAACGTATGGCGTGCCAAGCAGCGTTGCAGCAAGGGTACTTTGCAAAGCAACACTCAGCAGGCACCAACAGCGGCGCAGCCAGCCCTGAGTAGCGGCGCCGCGCAGGGCGGCAGGAGCGCGCTGGGCACGGAGCCGTACGAGCTGGGAGACGAAGCGGAGCGATGCGGCGCTCCAGCGCCCACCAGCCTCGCACGCAAGGACGCAGAGCCGCTGGGGTCCAGGTAGCAACAGCTCGGGGTACGCTGCACGCTTGCGCCTTTCAGCGACAACGATAACGGCACCGTCGCGCGACGCAGCAGAAGGCTGCGGGCGCCCATCCCGTGTCAGCGGGGGACACCAGCGTGACGTCGCAGCACAAGGCCTCGCCGAGTGGGGTACCCACGTACGCAACGAAGTTGAGGCGGCGGCGATCAGCAGGATCAACGTCGGGGGCCGATGTGCGTGCGAGCCATGGTGGGAGGACGACCTGGCCCTCAACTCCGACGGCTTCACGAGCAACGCGCACCCAGGCGTGCTGGAGGGGCTTGGCTCTGCGATGCTCTGCGGGCGAGCAGACCGGTAGGGGGACAGGCGGCATGGTGGTCGCCGTAAGCATCGACTACTGCACCGCAGCCGTGGCCATGTTCTCCGCATCTGTGTGGGGCGACGGGCAATAAGGGCAGCCGCAGCCGCCGCCGCAATGGTGGGCCGGGTAGGCGGCTCGTTTGCGCCGCTCGGCAACCCGCAGCATGGCGCGAACGCGCGCTGCTGCGCAAGGATGCGGCTGGCCCAGTCGGGTCGTCGATTCGCAGCACAGCGCCCCATCGATAAGGGCAGCTCCATGGATCACCACGTCAAGGGCGACGCCTGTCGTCCGGGCAACGCCAGTAGCAGTGGTGCTGGAGAGCCATGGCTGCGGGACTATGGCATAGCGCAGCATGCTGGCCAAGGGCGAAAAACGCCGATGCCAGCGGGCTCGTCGCGCAGGCAGTACGTGGAAAGACGGCCATAGAAAAGCTTCACCAGTCGGAAGGACGTCGGGCGCGGCGGATCTCCGCAGTCAGAAACGATGCTGTCGTAAGCGCTGCGATTCCCCCTCTTTACCCGGGGGGGGGTGCAGGACCCCGCAGGGTATGCTAGAAATGGGTCCCGGACCTATTTTGGGTGGGTCCTACACCCCCAAGCTCTGGGGGGGAGGGTTGATGCCGAAACAAATTTGAGATAGTCAGTGGATGTCACTGGCTTCAGCCATGTATCCCCACATGAATACATGGGAAAAGTGTTGTATCTGAGGATATTGTCGGTTACTGCATGGTCTCTCCCTTTCGTTCTCTCTCTCTCTCTCTCTCTCTCTCTCGCTTTCTCTCTCTATCTCCATATTTTTTTACCGACCGATAGCGGCGCACAAGACCTCTAGCACATGACCAGCACTCGTTTTCCGCGTTGCATCTGTTAAGGCAGTCGAGGCTAGCCAAAGAGGGGAGGCCCGGTCATAGGCTAGCCGAGGCCTGCAAAGAAACCGCTTTAGGCTAGGCCTTGTGAAAAGAAGTGACATTTAATGTAGGCCACTACCTGGGCTCTTGAGAGCTATATCTATGTAGGCTGGCTTGAGCGTGGCGCTCAGAGGCTGGCGAGGCCGAGGCAAAGTGAAAAAGCTAGGTGTGAGACACGAGCTCGGAAGTGGAAGTAGTCGATGTCCTAGGCAACGTTGAGACCCGAGGCAGGTCTCCATGCTGCCACATTAATTTGTGGCGTGGGACAAAGCTGGCCCCAGGAGGCTGAGGCTAAAGCTGTTTATCGGCTAGGCAGGACCGACGCAAATCTGAGCCTGCAAAAAGCGAAACCCCGGAGTTGCGAAACTGCAGCGGCTGCAGGTGCTGAGGTCGAGGCTGTTTGTCGGCCAGGCACGACTGAAGCATATCCCGGCGGAGCCTGCCAAAACGCTAACCCCTCGGAGTTGTGAAACTGCAGAGGCTGCAGCTGTGCCGAGGCTGAGGCAAAACGAAGGCGAGTAGCTGTTCAGATAGGCGTGGGCGGGCGGTGCTTTTTGCTAACGAGTAGGCCAGTGCTAGAGCCGATACACTGCAACGTGTATAGATTCACAAGCCTACCAAAACATACACAAAACAACGTGTAACGTTCAGATAGGCTTGCACTGCTCTAGCACATGACCAGCACTCGTTTTCCGTGTTGCATCTGTTGAGGCAGTCGAGGCTAGCCAAAGAGGGGAGGCCCGGTCATAGGCTAGCCGAGGCCTGCAAAGAAACCCCCACTTTAGCATACAGATGCAACGGGAAATAGGCGCATGTGAAGAGGATGTCCCCCACCGCGGGCAGTGCATCTGGCCTTGGCGTCTGGTGCAAGCTTGTCATGCGAGTGGCTTCGTCAAACATTGGGCTAAACGGCGCTTCATTTGACCCCCGGACGGCTCTTTTGCTCACCTTCCTGCTAATGGGCTGGCTTCTGTGCTATGTAGCAGCAAACGGGGGCAAGTCCCCGTCAGTAGACGGAGTCCAGGATGCCGAGGCTTCCGCTGATGCTAGCATGCTGAGTGAGATCCGCAGGCGTTCTTGAGGCCGATGAGCAAAGGCGTGTAGGCGTCCCCTGCTAAGATCGTCGGCCCACTCGTTGTGTGCCCCCGCAACGTGGGTAACCTGTAGGTGGACGCTATTGGCTGAGCTCCAGGAGGCTATGAGGCCAAAGAAGACTGAGAGGGGCCAACTAGTCGTAAAGAGCTTGTTAACTCCCCCTTCCGTAGGCGAATTGTCGCTCTGAGCTATGCTTGGTGGATACCCAGCCTCCTATGCCTACCTTATCCCCCTCTGCCATGGCATCGGCTCTGGCTAGACTTGGCAGCAGAGGCGGCAGGCTAACGGCGTAGTGGGTATCGCTTGAATCCGTGGAAGCAGCCATCGAAGGCTGTCCTGGGCTGCCTTGGTGATCTTGATGACAGGGCATGATGGGTCTGAGACTCGAACCCATAGGTTTCCAGTAGGCTTGGGGAAGTTGGGCAAGTCGGCTTTGCAGTGCACCTGCTTATTCCCCACCTCGATGATGCGTGACTGTATAGGCAGGTTGACCCCTACCAGTTCTCTGACCACGACTGTTCGTGAATCGAGGCAGTGTAGGAAGGCGGGCCACATCCTCGGGGCTATGGAGTAATTAGAACCTGGCGGGCTATGCAACAGGCTGTAAAGAGGTGCCCCGTACTTCGGCTGGTTTCCAGTTGCCTTGACAAATCTCTAAACCAGATTGACTCAGTGGCATGAGCTGTCTGGCGGCCAGAGGCCGCTGGGCTTGATTTCATCGAATACCCCCGTGTGGACTCCTTCACGCAGCATCGTAGGCAAGGTGCCATCCGGGTCGTCTGTGGCAGAGTGCTGACATGAGGTTGAGGCGGAAAGGCTGACCGGGGCTAACGACCTCCATGATTGATATGTCGAGGTCGAGAGCCTGGCACAGATGCTGCAGGGCCTGGGCCTGTTCTTCCTCGGATAGCGGGTGCCCGGGACGGCTCTGGTATATGTGGCTGAAGACTCGTTTAGGCAGCTCTGAGGCTGAGGCCCACTTCAGGAGGGCCGCTGCGCCTCGCGACAGGCCAGAGCGCGATGGCAAGCTATGATCGGCGGAGCTGACGGATCCTGCACCGTCGCAAATGGGCGGCCTGTTGGGGACAAAGGGCTTGTCCCGGTTAAGCAAGGAGGCCAAAGATTTGCAACGTTCTTGGCTCCCGTCGGTGGAAAGGCAAGAGAGTCTGCCAGCTATTTCCAGGGCTGTAAGGTTGTCATCCCGTAGGGGCCAGGCGGGCAGGGTGCAGGATGCCATGCAAATGGTTCCTCCGTCGGGGCATGGGCATAGATTAAGGCATGAATCCTGCAGGACCGAGATGAAGGCTTCGGACGCCCAGAGGAAGTGCTGCTTGTCCAGGAAGAGGAACACTGAAGTCCCCGAGGATCGAGCTGCCTAAAGGATGCCGGAGGCCGCCTCGGCTGAAGAGGCAAACGTGTCGAGGCTTCCCACTAGAGCTGTGATGGATCTACACCAT